TTCAGAAGGCAACTCCCAGACAATAAACACTCAGTGAATAGACAAACAAGTCTTTGAAATTGATAGTGGAGATTCTCTAGGGAGAGAGTGTGGGGGAGAGGGGAGGATGAGGCAGAACCTTGGGCAATGTGTGTGTGGAGGCAGAGGAGGTAAGGAGCCAGCAAAGAATGTGGAAGGTGGGAGCAGAGCTCAAAGAACCAAGATGGCGCCATGTCCTGGGGCCGAGTGATGGGAGAGTTTCAAGGACAGAATTGGAAACACTGTGCAACACTACAGAGAGCTCAATTAAGAATGGGCACAGAGAAGAGGCCACGTGTTGATTCGGCAATTAGGAACCCACTGTGGACCTCTGAAGGGCAACTTCATTGGAGAAGTGGGGATAGAAAAATAGCCATCATCCTCAACAACCAAGCCCTTCCCACTCATTTTTTTTTTCCCATTTAATCCTCATAACCACCTTATGAGGCAGCTGTATGACCCATTTTGCAGATGAGGAAACTGAGGACTAGAGACATTCAGCAACCTGGTCCAGGTCACAGAGCTAGTATGAGGTTGGGGGGTGGTTTCTAATAGACTGCTCAGCAGCAGGTTGAGGGTGAACAGCAAAGGAAGCAGCAGGTGAGGACTGCTCTGGTGAGGTCTCTAACAGAACAAGTTCAAGGTGCCTTATAGGAACAGAAATTTATTGTCTCACAGTTCTGGATACTACAAGTCCAGTCAGGGTGCCAGCAGGGCCGTGCTTTCTCCAAAGGCTCTAGGGGAAGATCCTTCCCTTTTCTCTCCCAGTTTCTGGTAGCCCCAGGTATTCTTTGGCTTATGGATGCATCTTCACATGAGAGCCTTTTCTCTGTCTCTGTGTCTCCTCTTACAGGACACCACTCAGATGGGATTAGGACCCAGTCTTTTCCGATATGATCTCATGTTAACTGATAACATCCTCAAAGATGCTATTTCCAAACAGGGTCACATGCACAGGTGCCAGGGGTTAAGACTTCAACATATCTTTTTAGAGGGGACACAGTTCAATCCATAACACACACACTCCCACACATGTATATAATATACACGATGAGGTTTAGCGGTGCCTTTCAGTTGGTATACCCACAGTTTTCTTGTTCACTGGAGTGGTTTTACCAAAAGCCCGTTGCCGTCAAGTCATTTCCTACTCATAGTGACCCTGTAGGTCAGAGAAGAACTGCACTGTCCCATATGGTTTCCAAGGCTGTAATCTTTACGAAAGCAGACTGCTACATCTCTCCCCCATGGAGCGGCTGGTGGGTTCGAAGAGTGGTTTTAGCAGGGGGTAGATATGGGACTGTGATGCTTCCCAGCGCTCTTGTGGTGCTTGGCTGCATTATTTGTGTTCGTGTTCAGCCTGGCCGTTCTGTTCGGAAGAGGGAAGGGAGCCACACAAGGCACTAAGAACTTGAACTTCCTTTTACACTGACCAGTCTGAGGTCAAATGGGCTTAGAACCTCCTTCATGATGAGTAAGGGAGAGAGAGAGGCTTCAGATCTGCCTGGGCAACTATGCAAATGTTGCTCAGATGAATAGGTTTTTCATCTTAGACCAAGCTGACTTTCCAATGTCCTGCCAGACCTTGAGCAGCAAACATTTATAAGCACAATGTGACTCTTCGATTTTCAAAAACATGTCCATCAGCAATCTTGTTGGCCGAACCATTGTCAGATTGGCACCGAACAGCCACCCAGGAAAACGTGCCCTCCCACCAATGATAATTTAAATGACATTGGTCCGTGGATCTAGAAGGTCCCCAGGATCCAGAAGTTTCTAGAAGGACCCCAGTGTCCTTGGGTGGGGTGGGGTAACTTGCTTATTGTGTGTTTATCTTGTGTCAGGTCCTGGGCTGGGTTCCTGGGACATGTGGTTTGACTGGGAGAAGTCCTGGGTGGTTCCACAAGAGGAGGGTGCTGGTGCTGGTGCTGGTGAAGGTCAGAAGGAGACGGAGAAGGGCTCATGGAGTTGGGGTTGGAAGCACAAAGAGGACGTCCTTGTGGAGACGTTCAGCAGCCAGTAGAGAACAGACCTTGGAAAAGGGGTAGCACTGAATGGAGGAGTGGGCTGGAGCCGTGAAGGGGGTATTGTGTGAAAAGAAGAGAGGCGAGGGAGCTGCATTGACAGGAACGCTCGACACTTGGCTGAACAGAGGATCAAAGTCTACAAGAAATGGGTCAGCCCAGAGTCACGCCTGCACGTGTCCCCCATGCGTCCTCTGGCCAGTGATGGGGCATTTGGGTCCACATGCAGTCTTGGGAGCCTCAGCATCCACGCTGACCAACATGGAAATGAGAAACAGAAGGGTTACCATGGAAATAGGTTCTGGTGTGTTTTGTTACTTCTGTGCTTTGCAGGTGCGGATTAACCAGTAAGCATGGTATGCACTGGCTTACAGTAAGCAAGGTACACAGGGACTTAATTGTGTTTACTTACTCTTCTGTAGTGCACAGTTTCACCTGGGTTTCACCACATCTCACAGGCTTAATTGTGCTTACTTACCCATCTGTAGTGAACAATTTCACCATGTCTCACAGGCTTAATTGTGCTTACTTACTAATCTATGGTGCACATGGGTGAAATTGTGCACTACAGATGAGTAAGTAAGCACAATTAATCCCGTGCCTGCCTTGCTTATTGAGTAATCCGTCCCTGCTTGGCATTCGTGTGTGAGGCATCTTGACCAGAAGCCCCAGCTCCTCTCTGACCAAGGCTGCCGCAGTTGCCTCCGGCGGGTTAATGAAGCCCTTTAGTGCTGGTCTCCCTTTTCCTCTGGCAGCTCTACTCAAAACAGTGCTGTTGGCTTCCTGAACACGGATGCTGAGGACATGTGTTCCACCCAAGAGGCTTCTCCCCGTGCTGTGGGTCTGCACCAGCCACGTGCGGTATTTAACTTTGAATTTAAAAGTTCAATTCCTCAGCCCACTAGCCACACTTCATGTGTGCAGTGGTCACCTGATAGCTCTGTCTTGTAGTAATAGCTTCTGGGGGAAGGTGATACGGCAGGTTGGACCAGGTGTGTTCCATAGCTTCCGTATGTAATCCTCATGGCCAACTGATGAGGCAGGTGTAAAATCACCCCATTTTACATGTGAGGCGGCCGAGGCTCAGAGGTTTGGGTAATTGAGTCAGAGTTCTCAGGAAGGAAGCTGGCGCCTGAGCCAGACTGTTGACTGCGCGGCTAATACTCTCACTCTGATGTGGTCCCCTGGGAGTCCCCCGGACTCCGCTTCCCTTACTTCCCACATCCAGTCATCCAGCTCTGTTGACTCGACCTGTGACATGCCTCTGGGGTCATCCTTTTTTCTCTGTCCCATTGCCTTGTGTTGCCATGATGGGCGCCCACCAGACTCCCATGCGGGGTGGGAGCTGGGCAGACACCCTTGAGATATCCAGACCCTTGACCACCGCCTGACTTTGTCATTAGTGTTTTACCTTGAGCATGTCGTGGGCTCTGGGCTCAGGCTCTGATCTGTCAAATGGTGATTTGGATGTTGATGGTGAACATGATGATGATACTCCCCTCCCCCTGCCCCCACTTACCTCACCACATCACTCTGAAGACCACACAAGATAATGAAACGTAAACGAGTTTTATAAACTGGGAAGGGCTGTGCCAACGCAAATGGTGATATGTTTTCTTTAAGAAATAAATTTTGGAAAACGAGACTAATGGGGCACAACAGCCCAGGGACAAGGACTAGAAGGCAGGAGGGGACAGGAAAGCTGGTAGTAGGGAACCTAAGGTCGAGAAGGGACAGTGTTGAATGTTGTGGGGTTGTTAACCATTGTCATAAAACAATGTGTACTAACTGTTTAATGAGAAACTATCAGTTCTGTAAACCTTCATCTAAAGTACAATAAAAAAAACTCTAAAAAAAAAAAAAGAAGGAAATGTTCGGGAGCCACCTGACCCAGGACTGGAGTGTGAACCACACGTCTTGTCCCATGGTCTGCCTGCTGAAAGCTGTGTGCTGCTGCTTCTTCACTCCCCTGGGACACCTGCTTGGTGACCCATTTAGAGGGCAAAGCTTGTTGTTGCAGGTATGGAAGTGAACTTTGTCATCTCCAGGCCTGCGTCTGCTCTAGGCTCAGAGCGTTTGTATCCTTGTGTCCTGGTATAAAACTATATTCCACCTGGGGATCTGCGTGGAGGCACCCAGGAGAGATTCTAGGAAGAAAGACGTCTTGATTTGTTTGGGCTATGCACCAGCATCTGGGAGCTTGTTAAGCGTGCAGACCCTGGGCCCCACCCCAGACGTGTGAGTCAGAATCCCCAGGGGGATCCAATGCACATTAGTGTTTAGAAGCTCTCTTCCAGTCTGATGGGGTATTTCACTGAGAAGTCCTAGGTTTCTCAACTCGTTCTCAACTAGCAACTACGAGCCGTTTGAGAACAGGCCATTGGGTCTAGAGCTGTGTCCTGTGCCAAAATCAGGGCCACTTTCTTTTGCTTCCTTGTCACCACCCCCCTTGCCCCAGCTCACTTCCTGTCTCTTCATGGTGGGCTGCTGCGGCTTTCCCATTCCAAGCAGGGTCCCAAGATTGAGGATAAGAAGAGTTGACAAACTTCTGTTCCTGAAATAAGATCCAAAAATTGAGACTTGACCATATGAAGGGAGGGGAACATTGTAGGCATTGCAGCCAGAGAGGCCTGGGTTCAAATCCCAGCACAGCCTCCAACTGCCTGTGCCACCTTGGGAAGGTCACTCAGCCTCTCTGAACCTCCACTTCCCATCTGTGAAATGGACATTGAAGCCTGAGGTGCTGTTGTCAGGAGAATGTTGGCCAAGGTCAATGTATGAGCACCTCCTTTCCACCTTCTGTGCTTGGCACTGCTGCAGAACAGCTCAGGAGCCCACAGGGTTGGGGCTGGGCGCCTGCCATGCTGCCCTGGGCACCCTCGTGGCTACAGCCTCTTCCTCGGGGAAGTGGTCTGTGATGTTTAACTGAGCATCGCGCCTTCTTTTTGCTGTTGGCCACAGATGATGTCCGGTTGTTCGCCTTTGTGCGCTTTACCACTGGGGATGCCATGAGCAAGAGGTCCAAGTTTGCCCTCATTACATGGATCGGCGAGAATGTCAGCGGGCTGCAGCGAGCCAAAACCGGCACAGACAAGACCTTGGTGAAGGAGGTGGTACAGGTAATTCTCCCTGGGTTCTTTATGGGTCTGGGAGTCATGTCACACTTCACCAAGTGTCACATCCAGTGGGGATGGGCTGGATGTGTGTCCTGGGTCAGTGACTTAATGTGTGACTTTGAATGAGCCATGTTACATCTCTGTAACACGTAGTGTTAAACCATAGTGATGGTTTGAGCCACTGGTGAAATGTTACTAACAGAACAAGGTATTAGTGGGAAAAACTGGGGAAATCTGAATAAAGTTTGGAGTTTAGTTAATAGTGAGGTACCAATATTGGTTGTTTGGTTTTAACAAACGTGCCACAGTCATGTAAGATTTTAACAATAAGGGGACCTGGATGAGAGGAATATGGGAACTCTCAGCACTATCTTTTACAACTTTTCTGAAAATCTAAAACTATGTCAAAGTGAAAATTTTATTAAAAAAGTAATAGGGAACTAAAAAAACTCCCATCACCCTAGAATTAGGGTCAATTTTTCCTTTTCCTACCACCTCCTCTGTCTGTGCCCTCCCTGCCTTTGTACATTGCTGTGGTCCCAGCCTCCAAATCCCGCTCCGGTTGACTTTTTTTTCTAGGTTAACATAATTTCGTAAATTCTGTGGCTACGTAGTCCTTGTAATTAAGGTTGTTTTCTGGTGACAGATTGTCTCATTTCACAACTACACTATCATGTTCTAGATGTTCCCTGTTGTTGGTCCTTTGAGTCACTTCTAATTTTCACTTTTACAAATAATGTTCCAATCAACATTTTAATACACACACTTCCTTTTTCTCTTCTGTTGAGTTATTTAGAATGCATTCTCAGGAGGTAGGGTTTGAGTGTTAATAGGCATGATAATCATTTAAAAAGGTATAGGCATTACGATTGTCTTCTAAAAGGGTCAGCACTGTGCTGGGGACATAGTAAATGTTCAATAAATGTCATTTCCTTCATATCTTAATTAGTGTCACCAGTTAACACTGCTGTCTGCACCCTGCCTGGCACTGACACCCCTGTAACTCCTCAAATATTACTGGGTTATTTTTCTCTGGGCTAGTTTGGGTTTTAATGGTTCACCAGCTTTCAGGGGTCTTCTGTGGGGCAGCAGAATGGAAAATGCAAAAGAACGCATGTTTCATGGTCAAAGGTCTCCTCAATTCTGCCTGTCCAAGCTTAGTCCCTCTATCTCCATTGGCCGGCTGAGTGGAGCCCGAAGGAAAGGGAACCCCAGAGAGAGAATGCCTGCCATTTAAATTTGCAGTTTCCTTTAAATCTAGCATCTTCAATTTGGTTACATAGGCCAGTGACTGAGGGTGATTTAGGAAATATGATTCTTTGGTAAGACCTTGAGGTGGGAGTATTGGCTATAATTCATTTGTTTGCAAGCTCAAATAAGTTGAAGCAAAAAGAATTGCTTGGTTCTCAGAACTTGGAAGTGCAGGTGTAGCTAGCTTTAGGTGTAGCTGGATCCAGGCTCAGGTGATATCTCTGTCTCATCTCTTGGGTCTGCTATTCTCAGGATTTGGCTTTAGGCTGGCTCTGCATGGCAGGAGAAATGGTGCAGCCTTTGGAAGTCCTCCTGGGTCATGATCCCAGAGGAAGAGAGAGAGACCCCTCTCCCTCAGGGCCAGTCAAACCCTTCATAGGACCCTGATTGGCCCAGCTTGGGTCACATGCACACTCTGTGGGGCAGGGAGGTGGGGCTCCAAGATTGGCATGATCCCGGTTGCTAAAGGGATATTGGGTAGATGAAAAACACCCAGATGTCCCCTCTGTGGGGGACTGGGAACCATCTTGCACTACAGGTGGAATACAGTATATTGATCACTATCATTTACATTTTCCACCTGTACATTAACAGATGTTAATTATCTGAAGCGTAATGAGACCTCACATTTATACTACAGTTGCAAATATAGTCACTGAGGTTACAAGGGGTCAATTATGCACGCATAATAGTGTTCTTGGACAGTCACTAGATCACGCCTGGGTACATGCCCTCTGTACAATGAGGACACCGACCCAATGTTCCATATGGGCCATTCTAGGCGCCACATCTTGGGGAGTGGACCACTTCCCCAGCTGCCTTTTGCAACTGTTTCCATGTAAAGAGTAGGAGGGGTTGACTTTTAGTTTATGATTCTTAATAAACTCTTGCTTTTACTACAATAGAAGTAATATACCCACATCCTTGAGCTTTTATGAAATACCAAGAGTGCTAATCAATCGCTTGGTCATCAACGCAGAGACACTGAAACAAGAGGGATGGGTGGACAAGTCTCTCCCTACCTGGACCTCGGTTTCCCATCTGTAAAAGGGGGAGTTGGATAAGCTCACTTGCTGTGTCTCTCTCAATTTTTACATATCTTGAAAATTTTTTATTTTTAAAAAAATGATATCATTTGTTCCTGAAGATATTTTACCTTTAAAGGAACCTTATTTTACTTTATTGGACAAAGAGGCAGTGTAGTGTAATGGTCAGGGGTGTAGACTTTTGAGCTGGGCAGTGTGGGTTCAGATTTCAGTTCTACCACTTACTGTGGGACCTGGGGCCGACTTCTCTGGGCCTCAGTCTCCTCATGTCTAAAACAGGGATAATAGAGGATCTGCCTCTTAGGGTTGTTGTGGGGATTAAATGAGTGAATGTAAGGAGGGACGATACCTGAAACAGCGTCTGGTAAGACTCAGTATCGGTAAGTAGTACCAGTTGCCATCAAGCTGATTCCAACTCATGGTGACCTCATGTGTGTCAGAGTAGAACTTTGCTTATTCGGTTTTCAGAGGCTGATTTTTCTAAGTAGATCACCAGGCCTTTCTTCTGAAGCTCCTCTGGGTAGATTTGAACCTCCAATCTTTTGATTAGCAGCTGAATGCGTTAAACTGCACCACCCATGGACTCCCCAGTAAGTGGTAGTGGTTCTTATTTCCAGTTTTCCCTTGCAGACAGCACCATGATGAATGGCTTAGGCAGAAAAACATTTCTACATTGTGGATTATTTCGTTAGGAGGTGGTAGTTCCACATGTTGAGTCACGGGACACGGGACATGAATCTTATCGTTGTTATTGATACACATTGTCTAATCACCTTCCGAACGGCTTGCACCAAAGTCACAGCCCCAGAAACACAGGAAGGCGCTGGCCTCACCCACCATTGCCAGTGCTGCCTTAAAACCGTTCATACAGGACGAAGGCTCTCTCCCTGCTGCCTCACCTGTGGCCTGATGCACAGGTGCATTGGCATCCAAGGAAACTGAGGCCCACGGCAGTGCTAGGGTTTGCCGCAAACCCACAGCCAACAAGCGGCAGAGCTGGGGCTAGAGCCTGGAGGAGTTAAAAGTCAGGAGGCTGAACTCCGGGTCTATTTAGTCTGTATTCAGAGCCAGGCTAGAAACGGAGCCACGTCTGTGATTGGGGAAGAAGAAGTCAAAACAAGATAAAAACCAGCAAGGCCACAGGCAGCAGAGGCTGCAGGGGAGGGGGCTGGACCATGAGGACACAGGGACGTGAGCCGGGCAGGCGCCGAGTGGACAGCTGCTGTGCCTCAGCTGGCAGCCCGTGGCACAGAGCCGAGCGGGTGCCCGGGACAGAACACCCCCCCACTGATCTTGTGCCACTGTGGGACTGCAGGAACAATGTGGTCACCACTAAGCGAACCAAGCTGGGTGCCCAGGCCAGGCCGTCTTGATGTAGAGCCAGACTCCGTCAGTAATGCAGCGTGCTTGTCTTATAAAATGGTTTTATTCGCTGACTCGTTTATTTATTTTCTGACTTAAACGTTCACTGAGCCAAGCCTCCAGAGAGGGCATCTCAGTTTTCAGTGCTGGGAAGAGAACGGCAGACTATTTCCTCCAAGGAGAAGTGGTGTAAGGGTGCGCAGGGACTTTCAGTGAGGTGCAGAAATATCAGATAAGTGGGTGTTCTGATGGCTTCTGAACCCTAGGGGTAGAGTCGGTTTAAGTTCTGGGCATGCTCCCACCCCCTAGGGCCAAATATACCCAACTTTCCCTTCTGAGGGCCTCTTTTGTGTACCCATGTGGAAATAATATTAGTAACAATAGCTATTTATTGTGTCCCTACTATGTGCCTGGCATTCTTTTAAGGACTTTCTATGTAATAAATCGGAATCCCTGGGTGGTGCAAACGGTTAACAACTGAAAGGTTGGAGGTTCAAGTCTACCCAGAGGCACCTTGGAAGAAAGGCCTGGCCATCTACTTCCAAAAAATCAGCCATTGAAAACCTTATGGAGTGCAGTTCTACTCTGACACACATGGGGTCACCGTGAATTGGAGTTAACTCACTGGCATCTCGACAACTCAACATGATGTATTAAGTCATTTATTGTTCACAACAAGACCAGGTATTATCATTATCCCCACTTAATAGGTGAGGAGATTGGGGCCCATGAAAGCTTAGCAACTTGTTCAAAGTCTCCAGCTTGGACATGATGGAGCTGTGTCTGGAGCCTAGACCGTCTGGCCCCAGAACGCTGACTCTGGCACTTCTCTCCATGCACTTTCCCCCAAGTCCACCAGCACTAAGAAACGAATTCCTAGGCCATATGCATTTTAGAGACTCTTGTGTAGATAAAGAGCCCCTGGTGGCACAATGGTTGAAAAGTGCTTGGCTGCCAACTGAAGGGTCAGTGGTTCAAAACCACCAGCTGCTCCATGGAAGAAAGATGTGACAGTGGGCTTCCATAAAGATTTACAGCCTTGGAAACCCTGTGGGGCAGTTCTACTCTGTCCTATAGGGTCGCTATCAGTTAGAATCGACTTGGTAGTAGTAGGCTTTTTGGATTATTGTGTAGATTTATATTGCACATGGCACATTAAAGGCTCTGAGAAGCCTTGTAGGAAACAAATCGTTTTAACTTGTTTTTAAACTCACTGGTTTCCAATATTCCTGGATGAGGGGACCTTTTTTATTTTTATTTTTAAAAAAAAAAAAAACAACAAAACAGGACACTGGACATTATTACTCAGCAGTTACTTTAAAAAACGCTGCTTGTTGAACATAA